CTATAAAAACAAACATCTCACTTGCACTATCAGTGTGCTTTATCTACTTTACAGGCATCCTCTCAATTACTTCTCATAACGATCCTAGAAAGCAGGGCTATCATCATCACCACTTTAATGGGGTGCTAAATGACTTGCCCGTCCCAGGGATAGTATGAGACTCTGGGAAGAGTCACACTCAGGGCTGTGATTGGAATCCATGTTTTTCACACTATGGGGATGCCTCCCTGTGGGTGACACGAGGTGCTTTAGTATCGCCCTGCAGCGGGTATTTACAAACTGGTGTCAGTCTTATCACTGCGTCCCACCTCCCCGTCAGTCCGTCAGTCCATCAGTTCCCACCACGGAATGCCCTACTCCCAGGACAGACCCTCTGCATGCTAATGGACCTGACCATCCTCCATCCTAAACACAGCCCTGTGCTTCCCCCGTGGGCCCCTGGCTTCTCATTATCTCAGCCTTATGTACCATGGAGGAAGTGGAACTGACACGACGTCTACCTGTACCTCCTGCTGCGGCTCCCCTTTTCAGATTGGAGACCTTTGTAGAAGTCATTTCTTCCACTGCCATGGTCCCCAACCCCAGTGGTCAGGATCCTAACTTCCCTTCAGTGGGCTCCTCTGATGTTCCCTGCACTCTCTCTGTGCTACTTTTCATGGTTGTGTCCACACCATTCCTTTGCTGCTGTCTCAGCCATCTGGAGGTTCCTTGAGGCCAGGACACAGCAGGACAGTCTCTGCAGGTTCTCTGAACACTTGAAACACACAGTGCTAAGTGCTGAGGCTCCACTGAATTGGACTGACTAGCAGCGGGGCCCAGCAAAGGCCTCCAAAGCAGTTAGAGGAGCCCTCGAGAGACACTGGCTCCTTCTCCTCACAGCAGTTTCCAGCGAGTCTCTCCTCTGCCATGGCAGGAAATACTGCCCAGGCCTGGAGCAGTGTGGGTGATGCTCCTGGGCTGAAGCACTGCTGTCCACAGGCTTGGACACTTCAGCTGGGGTACGGCTGGTTGGTGAGATCAAGGAGGAGGAGTGCAAGGCTTCTATCTCTGGGGAAGGGCCAGTGACCAGGGCCCCAGGATGTCCACCAGAGAAGGCCTTCACAGGGTGTGGTAAAGCTGGAGAATCCTCTGTAAACTGGGCTGATAGCTCATGAAGCAGGGAATGAGTGCTGTGTCTATACCCCGGGACCAGGGCTGCTCCCACACAGGGGTCACAGCTCCAGAACTTTGTCCTTTGCAGGCCGGGGTGACCCTGAGCCCAGGTCCTGAGACAAACGGTATCTTGACCAACACAGGAACATTTTGAGCCTTGAGTCCCATTGGGTCCTGCAGAGTTCTCACTGCCCCTTTCTAACAGGGGTCCCTCCACTCTCCAGGCTACCCCTAACTGGGGCTGTGGTCCTGTGGGTGCCCAGGTCCCCCAAAACATAATGTGCCCTGGGTCCATTCCCATTGTTACACTCACTCTTGTCTCCATCGCTCCAGCCCACAGATGGGCCTCTTCTCCCTCCTTACATGGTCCCTACTCCTCAATGCTTTCTTCCGGCCATCTCGCCTCGGAGCTCTGTTCTCAGCAAAACTCACTTATGCAGTAAGAATGAATCTATTTGGTGCTGAGTTGATAACACCTGCCTACAGTCTCATTGTGACTAAATCGATTCCTGGCTCCACAACTCCCTAACTGCTGAGTGACTGAACAAACTGTCATTTCTCTGCACTCCCATTCCTTAATACAAAACATGGGTGTAATAATGCTAGTACCTGCTTCAGAGTGTCCGAGTGTGACATGATTTAACACTGTACACAAAATTACACAGCTTTTGGACCAATGCCTGGCACAGAGAAAACATATATTCTTTTGCCATGATGATGATTATTATTAGGAATCTACCATGTAGTTGAGCACTGTGGCACATGCCTGTAATCCCAGCAGTCTGCGAGGTTGAAGCAGGAGGATCACAAGTTCAAGCCCAGGCTAGGCTCTATCTCAAACTAAAAAATAGTAAAAAATAAATAAAAGGGCCGAAGGTTAGCTCAGTGCAAAGGTTCTGCATTTAATTCCTAGTACCGGGAAAAAAAAACAAAAAACAAAAAAACCCTGCTATGTGCCAGATACTCTGGGCCACCAGGAACACATAAATGACAAGTCCAAGAGATCAGCAATTGCAAGGCAGTGTGACTAATGGAGAAGGTATGGCCACACACACAGGAGAGTACACTTACTCAGACTGGCCTGCAGGCAGGGCCGGCAGGGGAGACTTCTCAGAGGCTGTGAAAAGAGAAAGCAGAGCTACTGACCAAAAAATGTGCCTAAGTGGGGTACGAAGACCGGTAGTGTGAGGCGGCCCTCATCAGTCTGGGATGGGGCCAGTTGCCTGCAGGGACATATGCGCTGTGGGCAGTATGCGGACAGACAACTAGCGAGACCACCACCACCACCATCCTGAAGGGCAGCAGGGAAGCTGCTGCCGGTTTTGGAAGAGCGAGTTGCATTCCGGACAGACCACTGAGAGGGACCGTGATGGGCAGGCTGCAGCAGAGACTGAGGAGCCAAGTCAGGCCTCTCTGCAGCCTCCGGGCAGCCTGGTACCCAACCAGGCACAGTTTGCCAGGGTTTATGGTTCCTGGTCCTGGAGGGACAGCTGCCCACGGGACCTAGATGAGAGCCTACTACACCCTGTAGGTCCATCCTCACTCCCTGCTGCTGCACTTCCAGCTCACGGACCAGCATCTAGCCGTTTGCACTCATCTCCGTTCTCACCCCAGCAACGCGCTTGCTCTTGCCACATCCTCAGCTCTCAACCCCAGCTCACCCGGAGCAGCCTGAGCCCATCCCTTCCCCCTTGGCCTCTCCACCCCGCCCATGGCAGCCATGCAGCTGCTCCGCTGAGACTTGCCTGGCCCATCTTCCCATCAGTGACTCATGTACTGGGCGGGGGTGAGGCTGGGGCTGCCAGGGCTGGGGGAAGAGTTGGTGGCAACAGCCCCTCCCTGGCCTCTCAGCGTCCTCCGGCCCAACTGAGCAAAGTTTTTCCATCTCCTACGCGTCTACGTGCCCCTGAAGGGGCCCTGACCACACTCTGGTCCAGCCAAGCACTCTTAGGGTGAGGACCTTTGCTCTTTCTTCAAAGTTCAGAGTCATGGAATTCAGAGCACTGAGGACACCCCTGAATCCAGGAAGCAGGGCACCCTCCTCCCCATCAGGGAGGAAAACTCTTCAGAGGGCTCGCCATCTTTGGGGGAAAAAAAACCTATGGTAGTAGCCCCAGACCTCTGTGCCAAGGCTATAGGAGGCTGCTGGGCTAAGTGACCTCCCCAAAGCAGGAGCGTCCAGCAAGGTATGCATGGGGGCAGGGGGGCCTTCTGCATCCCAGGGCCTGAGAGGGTCTCTGACAGCAGTGCACTTCAGAGAGCCTGCGACTCTCTTAGTGAGGGTAGACCCAAACTGGGTTTGGGCAATAACCAAAAGCACACTTGGTTTTTTGGTTTCAGTTTTTTTGAGATAGGGTCTCGCTATATAGTCCAGGCTGACCTTGAACTCTCTACGTAGCCAAAGGAAACTAGTGGTGATCTCCTGCCTCAGTCTCTCGAGTGCTGAGATTACAGGCATGTGCCAGTATGCCTGGCTCCAAAGCACACGTGGAAGCAACAGGGTTGCTTGTTCCAAAAAAATAGGGAGTGCCAGAAATCAGACTGCCTCCCCTCCACATGCCCCTGCCCTGTTGACACCTCACTGGTGCTGGTCCTGCCCTTCCCCCACTGACCTTTGCAGCCAAGCTCCAGGAATGATCCCACCTGCTCTACAGAGGCCAACACAGTGCTGGACAGAGGAAGTGTTGCCCAGCTCTCCCTTGGGTCCTCACAGGCAAGTCTATTAGCACCGGTTGACAATACTGTTATTTCCACACTAAGTGCTGCGCGTCTCAGGGCAGGGACCAGATCATACCTTTTTTGTCTCCACATCTCTAGAATGGAGCACAGTGCCTGGACCTTAACGGGTTTGTAGTTTGCTCAGTGATTACATCTCACATCCCAAAACCATCTGCTCACAAACACTCCGTGTTTGAGTGCCTGGGAACCTCTTTTCTTCATGCCCAAATCCCCAGTCATTTGTGCGTGGGTTTGATTGAAAAAGCAAGGGTTTTAGAGACTGCTGTTTTATAGAAGGATGAAGTTAATCCTCTCCCATTAACATAGTTGGAATCAGGAAGAGATAGCAACCATCCTACTCTCACCCTGTAACTACTACCATTCTTCCCGTCTTTATCCTAAAGCCCACAGCAGACATCACCAATCACAGCACTCTGGTTGAACCCAGATCTTTCTTAGCACTGATCTAGGTTGATGTGTAAGATGATGCTTATTTGCCATGATGGGATTCAGCTATCCGTGGCATGGTGTTCAGCCTAATGACATCATAAATGGGATGTTTCTAAGTTTCTTTATAATTTGTAAATTAGTGTGCAGTCATGAAAAAAATGAGCTGCTCCTGAGGACCAAGAAACTAAGACACGGAACAAGGAAGTTTTGATTGGAAGGCAGAAGAAAAAAGGACAGAAACAGACAGCCTGGGTGCACAAACAGGTTATCAAAGAGACTTTAAGTTATTAGAAGGGGCCCTTCAGCCTTACTGCTTCTTCCAAAGATTAAAGGAGGCCACTGCTCTGCAACACGAAAGGTCAGGAAACAGGAGAATGGCTGGCTTTGAGGCTCAACAGTTTTTGTATAATTCAGGGCAGTGACTTAGTGAATCACCATTTCCCTCAAGTTGAAACTATTCCTTTTAAATCATCCAGTAAGGAAGCATTACTGTATAAATGGATGTCTAAACAATACGGAGATAAGTGCTGCCCAGAAATCTGAGCCACCTCCCAAGATAGCAGAGACAAGGGCGTCTCCTCCTACCCGGATAGAGGTTTCAAGATGAGCTGTACAAGGTGAAGGTGGGGGACACATGCTCCAAGGCCTGGTTCTTTCAAAGAATTTCACTCAGCAGACAGTGTGGTTACTGCCCTTTGCAGGGCATCTTCATTCTGGAATAGGCATGAAATGGTAATGGCCAAACCTCACCCGCACCCCCTCCAGGCCCAGCACCACAGGGGGGGAACATGGGTAGAGGTGGGAGAAGAAGTGTGCAAAGAGAGGGCTTGGATGGTGGGGGTCTCAAAAGGATCTAAGCAGCAGGAGACCCCCAGGTGTGAGCCTCAGGCCCGGCAGCTCCCTCTCCTTGAGGTGAGTCCAAGGCTGTCCCAAGGTGATGCATCTTCTGGATACCAAGCTGGCCTCTTGAGTCCTGAGGTGTCTACTTAGCACCCCATGGGGGTCTACCCTCCTCCAGCCATGGAACAAGGCCAGGGGCTAACAGCAGTCTGCAGAACTGATGGAAGGGCCACAGCAGGCAGAGGAGTTGATGCCAGATCACATTGTGATACGGGTGGGCCAGGCCTGTGGCTAGAAGGCTCTGAGCTGAGTATGTCCTGATAGTACGTCTAGGAGCTGAATCTTCATCCTCAGCTCCACACAGCCTTCTGCCCTCCTTCCCCGGCCCGTCCACTCCTTCAGCTCCGATGCCTCCTCCATATGTCCACGGCTTCTGCCTTGACACATGGAGCACAGTCATGCCCCCCACCAGTGTAGGGGTGCAGGGCAGCTAGTGAGAAAGGACAGCAATCAGTACAGTGCCTCCTAGGCATTGGGCGCTTCCCACCAGGCCTTCCCAGCCTTCCCACATCAGGGCAAACAGGAAATAATACAGCCATTCCTCATTACCCACTGAGGACTGGACCTAGTGCCAAAAACCTGGATGTTCAATTCTTTCATATATAATGACACACTCTTTGCCTAACACCTATGCATACCTCCAGCATACTCTAAGTCATCTCTACACTCCTTATTTTTTTAAATTTTTTTTTTTTTGGTACTGGGAATCGAACTCAGGACCTTGCACTTGCCAAGCAGGCACTTGTGCTGCTGATCTATATCCCCAGCCCTACATTCCTTATTATACTTGGTACAGTGTAAATTTATATATAGATGTTATACTATATCAATCAACAAATATTGACAAAGAAAGTCCACACATGCTCAGTATAACATAATTTGTTTTCTAACTATTTTCCATCAAGTGCTGGTTAAATCCACAGACATGGAACCTGTGGATACAGGGCTGTGTTCATACAACACACTGTGGCCATGGCATCTGCTTCCTCCCAAGGCTCCCCCAACAGCAGGCCTGAGGGATCCATATAGATCCATTCTCAGTACAGCAGGTCTGCCCTGTACCCAGCCTCCCAGCCAACATGGGAGTTGACAGAAGAATCAAAGGGGCCCTGGCTGCAAGGGTCCCAGGCTCACTGGGACTCTACTGTTGAGGTAGTGTGTGAGGTGGAGCAGCGGGGTACAGCACACAGGTCTCCACCAACGCAGTTAGCCCCAGTGTGACAAAAACCCTTCCTCAACCCTACTCCTAGTTCCCACAGGGAGGGAGTGGCATCTGAGGAAGAGGGCATGGGGCTGAGTGCCAGGGCTTCTCGGTTCTATTCCTGTTCCCTCCCTTGAGCCTTCCTGACCACTACTGCTCCCCACCTGCCCTACTGCTCAAGGATTAAGACATCACAGAAAACTCATGCACCCACCCACCAACCCTGCTCCAGTGCCCCATCCCCCTCCAGCCTCTCCTCCTAGTCTAGCCCAGCGGGGCTTTGGCTGACACTCAGAGTCCGAGGGACAGCCCCCCCCCCCAATCAGAGCCCTGGCCTCAGCCGGCCTCAGCTCTCCTTCAGCTCTCTTGTCCTCCCAACAGCTCAGTCCTAGAGCCCCAAGCCCACTGTTTGCCCAGAACTGGCAGCAGGAGACCTCGGACGAGACCAACCAGCCCTCTGAGGAGCCGAGACTCCTGCTAACTGAAGGATCCTGCCTTTGCGTCAATCCAGCGCTCGCTCACACTGTGTGACACCGTTCCTTCTAGCAGGAGGGTGGGTCTCCACCCTTCATCCCCACCCCTATTTCTCCTAGAAAGCCACAGTCCAGGAGTCCTTTCTCCTGGACTGTTGAGGCCCAGCGGCCTGAGCAGGGGTCCCCATATCTGATAAGGTTTCAACCAGCTTTTGGAAGGCTCTGCCTGGTTCCCCGACCCAGGCCTCCCATCTTCCTCTCGGACACCTGCGTCACATTCAGAACCCTCCTATTTGGAGCCAAGAGGAAAAGGCCAGCTCTGCTCATTTTGGCCACCAGCCCAGGCCTCCCATACTCAGTCCTATTCTCTCTGGGCCCAGGAACCCTCCCGAGGTCTGCCTGACTTTGAAGAGGAGTGCTAGCCCCCGATTCTCTCTGTACGGGACAGTGGAAGGAGGGGAGAAAAAGAGGGCTCAGTCCGGACAGAGGCTCACCTGGCATAAACTCTGGATACCACAGAGGCAGGGGGCATGACAGGAAGATGGCAGCGTGTTGTTTTAGGACACGAGGGTTCCGGTCCCGAGGCTCTGCCGAGCTCTCACTGTCTGGATGGCCTGTTGGTTCTTGAACTTGACCAGGCCCAGGGTGATCTGGGCGTTCCAGCCAGGGTCTTCAAGAGGGCAGCGGAAGTCGATCTCACCGCCGCCCTCGGTCACCAGCGTGAAGTAGATGTGGCGCCCTGTGCTCTCCACGCACTCCACGGCTTTTATACGGGCAAAGCTGAGCTCCTTGGGCCGGCCGCCCGTGCCCTTGGCCTCGAAGAGCTGCAGCCCGCGCTCCGTGAGCACGCAGCGCTTGCGCTTCCACAGCTGCAGCAGCCCTCCGCTGCGCTTCTCCAGCACGCCCTCCTTGAGCACGGTTGCCGCCGCCGTCATGGGCGACCGAGGTCCCGAGCAAGCGAAGAGGCTGCGGCGGACGCGGCGCCCCTTCCGGCTCTCCGGCGCCGGATTCTGGCGCCCGTGGCCGCGCGCCCTGCCCACCTGCGCCCCGACTGCCCGGTGAGCCCGTCCGCGTGGACACCGCTGCCTGGGCAGAGCGTTCCGGTGCCCCCCGCGCGACCCTCGCCAGTCGTCCGCCTCAGCCCGCCTCGCTCGAACCGCGCCTCGCGCGCAGCTGCCGGTGCCCCGCGCCTACTGGCCCGCACGCCCGCCTGCAGCTCCCCTGAACTCCGTCTGCGCGCTGGGCTGCAGCTCCCGGGATGTGCCCTTACATGTTCCGCCGCTCGCCGCCTGCGCCGCCACGCATTCCTGCGGCTTCCCCCCACCCCTCTTCCGCGCAGAGCACCGCCCCTTGAGAATCCTCGGGGGCGGAGCGCTGCGGGGCTCCACCACCCACGGCCGGCGCGGGCAGGCAGGGTGGGACGCAATGCAGCTGGGGGTCGGGGGTAGGAGTGTGAGGTGGGGTGGGGGTTACACAACAGCCTGAGCCTCGTTCCAGCGGTCTGCCGCTTCTTGGAAGTAAAGCTCCCAACCTACCCTCAGGCCTTGGAGGGAGCAAGAGACGGTGGGGGGAGAAGGGAAGGAGCATCTGTAGATGGGAGATGGGGTGGGCGACGCCACTGGTTGCGATTGCATGGTGGGCATAGGCCCGTTACAGGCACTTGGGAGACCCAGCTCCCCATCTCCAGCCTCTGCCTCATACCCGTGTTGGGTTCCTCCTTCATTTACCTGTGCAGGGCCCAGCGAGACTGACCCCAGCCATCCCCAGTTTAGATAGTCCATCCCCTCTGACTATCACCCCCATCTGATACCCAGGGACGTGGAGAGGAGCCAGTGTGAACTGCAGAGAGAAGTGCTTTAGGGTCACTTGAGGCCCCTCTCTCTGTGGTCGGAGGTGGGGGTGGGAGACCCCCAGTGTGACCTCGGGCTGTCACTGTCCGCAGTCCCCTTACTGGCACGCACTTGCAGGTGGCTGTGTTCAGCCCCAGGCCCAGGGGTGCCCTGTGCCTGCAGCCCCAGGCCTGAGGATAGCTCTAGCCGTAGCTTTCTCTCCTGCCCCTCGCTCCAACAAAACAGGCTTCTCCCAGACACGGAGCTGAAAGCGGCACAGGGAAGCAGAAGGTTGCTCTTCTTTTTCTGGCTAAAGAACGTTGTGTGCACACTAGAGAGGTCCCCCTGGGTTGCATGCCCTGGCTGGGTTTCCTTCCCCTCCCTCCATTTCCACATGTCAAAGGGGGCAGTTCATTTCTTCTTTTCTCATGGGGCTGTTGCGATGGTAACGTTCGGAACGTCACGGAAAGGAAGGCCTAAAGGGAAAGGCCTGGCACTTGCAGAGATATCCCACCCCTCCAGACGAGGGGCCCGAGATGGGGTCAGGCACTGGGCCATGGCTGTCCTCAGTTCTCATCGGTCCCGTCTTGGTCACCTCCTCTGGACTAAACTTTCTTAAAAGCCTATTTGTCAACAAGTTAATAATAGATTGTTCTGGGAATAATGATACTTGATAATGACAGTCAGAAGACCTCTTCATACCACACCCTGTTTTTCACCCCTTGCCAATGAGCAGAAACTAATGGGCACAGGGAGAGTCCAATTGTGGATGAGGGGGTGCCTTCCCTGACAGCACAGCACCCAAGCAAGCCAGGGCCAAGGGAGGAAGGCAGCCATTGGCTTCTGGTCCATAGCCTGAGGAGCGCGCATGGGCGCTCACGCAGCACGCCCCCGCATCTCCTGATTCTGAGTGCTTCCAGAGGGAGTACTCCAGGCTGTAAGAGAAGCGACAAGAAGGGTGCCTCCTGTGGCCCAGAAGACAGCACCTAAGCAGAGCTTGAATGGCCATAGCCCTGCCCTAGGGGACCCCTGTCTGCCTTCTTGTGGGTCTTCCCTCCCTCACCCCTCAGAGGGAGGCTCCTGAGTACACGATTGATAGGGCATGACCCAGAAATCCTTCTTTAAAGAAATGGGCCATGGACCAGGCTCACCCCTTCACTCTGTCCCATCTCTCTTCCTTTCCCCAAACCAGGCTGGGACTCATTCCTATTCTCCTGCTCCAAAGTGATTCACAATGTAGAGGCTCTCAAAGTTTACAGAGCCACTGCACAGTTTTCAGAGTCTCATGACAAGGGCTGGGGATATAGCTCAGTGGTACAACTGCCTTCCTGGCAAAAAGACACAAAGACGTCAAGCAACCTACTTGAGGTCACACAACTTTGTAAAAAATAAAGCCAGAGTGAGAAGGTATAGTAACAGGACCCAGAATTTTTTGGTGATCCCAATTGCCCTTACATAAGCATCTGAAAATCTTTAGACATGACCCAGATACCCACACTTTTCTCTTCAACTACTGGATGGAGGCTGTCAGGCTTTTGGACACAGGAGAAAGAGGAGGGGGCAGGCAGGCAGAGTTCAGCTCAGAGGTGGAGTGCTTGCCTAGTGTGCGCAAGGGCTTGGATTCAATTTCTGGCAGGGAAGAACAGGAAATGGGGGGGTAGCAAGAGTGAGTGGGCAAAGTGAGAAGGAAAGTCAACAGGGCTGACTCTACTGCTAGAAAGGTCTTTGCCCACAAACCACTCAGTTCCCAACACCCACTGCTTCCTAGTGGCCTGAGTGTGTCCTCGGGACCTGGGAGTCTGGTCTTCCAGTTTCATGACTTCCTGGGACAGGAGGTGATGATTCATTCCGCTACAATTGGCTTCTTGCCTGGGATCATCACCTGGCACCGCTTGGGCCCAGGTTGGATTGTTTGGGCTATCAGGAGATGAGACAGCTTTCAGAAGCTAGGAGGGGGACAACTGCCAGAGAACCCCTGCCCCTGTTCAGGAGCAGAAGCTCCCGCTTAGTGTTCTTGGGGCGCTTGGCTGGGGCAGTGCTAGGCACTGGAGATTCTTACCCCATTCTTACTGACTTGACTCCACATCAGACAGATGGACAGAATGTCCCCTGATGGCAGCCTAGAGCTGGCTCATCCCTCTGCCCAGCCCAAAGGGAAAGCAGATCTGTACTGCCAATCAATACTAAACCACTGGAACCCTGTAGACTCTAAAATGGTGAAGGGAAGAGTGAGATGGGAATGGCTCTATCTAGGTTTCTGCCACCCTATCCTGTGTGGAGAGAAAGGAGACCATGTGGAGGGGAGCATCCCTTCGGGACCTCTGGACCACTACCCAGGTCAAAGGGGAAAGAAAGATGGGAGAAACGTAGGACAGGGAGAAGAATGGGCCCCAGAGAGGAGCTAAAAGTAACAAAACTTCTGTTTTCTACATTCTCTACTTAGTATAAAATATGTTTAGGGGTAATAAATGGTTAGAAAGACTAAAGAAAAAGCATTGAGGAGAACTTTATGAACAACACAAAATGTCTCTCTCTCTCTTTTTTTTTTTCAGTACCGGGAATCAAACTCAGAACCTTGCACCTCCCAGGCAGGCACTGTGCCACTGAGCTATATCCCCAGCCCAGCTATATCCCTGGCCCCAGGATGGCTCTTAATACTGTGAAAAATTAAACTGAACTGGGCATGGTGGCATATGCCTGTGATCGCAGCACTTGGGAGGATGGGGCAGGAGGATCACTGCAAGTTCAAGGCCAGCCTGGGCTACATAGTGAGTTTAAGGTCTGCCTGAACTTCATAGTGAGACCTTGTCTCCAAAAAATCAAGAGAGAGAGAGAGAGAGAGAGAGAGAGACTGAGACTTTGCAAGACCCTGTCTCAAAATAATTACAATAAATAAATAGGCTAGGGGTGTAATTCAGTGCAAAGGCCCTGGGTTCAGTCACCAGTACTACCAAAAACAACCAAACAAGAGAGCGTTCACTCCTTTGTTCAAAATCTACCTCAATCTCAGCCCCCTCTAAGTGAATGTTAGTGACGCCGCTTGCGAGGCCCTTGGAGATGGGCCCTCCAAGACCTACCTGGTACTCCTGGACCCTGCCTCACATCCTGGCTCTTGCCACACCCTTCTCTATCCCACCAGCCTCATCAGGACCGTTGACCTGCTCTCTTACATCACCAGCTGGTCTGTTTCTTTACCCTACACAGCTCTCAGGCCAGACATTTCCCGTGATATCTCCTCCACACCCTGCTTCAAACCCCAAGCCCTCTCCACAGCCATAGACATTTCCTCTCTGCATATGTTACAGTCAACAACTCTGTTCTTCATATTCACCGCTTCTCTCCCACACCAAACTGTAGGCTGTACGTCCTAGAGAATTTTATCAGTTTTCTTGACCCATGTTGCTCCAGCACCCAGAATGTTGCCCAACACCCAGCAGGACCTCCATAAATAATTGCTGAATGAGTGAATGAAATGGCAAGGTACCTGACAAAATCAGGAAGTGGAAAACAATGATGCAAACATTTCCTCTTCTTTTATTATGGGGAGCCAATAAATGCTATTGAGAGCCAATGAAGTCATACAAGAGGTCTAAGTGTGTTATTATTATTATTATTATTATTATTATTATTTTGTTTGTTTGTTTTCCGGTACCGGGAATCGAACTCACGACCTCACACTTGCCAGGCAAGCGCTGTGCCACTGAGCTAAATCCCCAGCCCCATAAATATATTATTTAAAGTGGTCATGGGAGCCATAGGTGGTTACAGGAGATGTTTAGGGTGGTGAGATTGTCCCCTACCGCACACCATAATGGCAGACATGATTTTAGGCATTTGTCAAAGCCTACAGAACTGGACAACATGAAGAGGAAACAATGTAAACTATGGACTTTAATTAATAATAAATGTATCAGTATTGGTTCATTAATTGTAGCAATGTATCACACGAATATAAGATGTTAATAATAGGGGAAAGGGCAAGAGAGAGGATATATGGGAATGCTGTACTATCTTATCTGCTCAATTGTTATACAAATGTAAAACTATTACAAAAATTAAGTACATTAATTAAAAAACAAAAAGTTAATAGATAACAGTAGTCCTTCTAGGGAAGGATGACGAAAGAAGATACTTTTTAAAAATTGTTCCTCATTCTGTACTATTAGATTTTTAAAATCTTATGCCTGTATTGCTTCTCTTAAAAATATATTTAAGGCCAGGGATGGTGGAACACACCTATAATCCTAACCACTCAAGAGGCAAAGGGAGGAGGATCACAAGTTCCAGGCAAGCCAGGGGCAACTTAGCAAGACAGTGTGTCAAAATAAAAAAGGGTTGGGAATATAGCTCAGTGGTGGAGTGTCCCTGGGTTCAATCCTAGTACCACACACACCCACACACACACACACACACACACACACAGAGTCTCCAGGCATAGTGGCAAGTAGGAGAAGGACTGTAGTCCCAGTCCTCAGGAGGCTGAAGTAGTTAGATCACTTGAG